CTCCCCCTGCTTGTGTTCCCTCTCTTGCTGTGTCTCTCTCTCTGTAAAATAAATAAATAAAATCTTTAAAAAAAAAAAAAATTTAATTGCAAGGTTTGTGGACACATACATATGATATCCTCATAGATATTGTCCTCCGACTGTGTGTAATAAAGTGCTGAGCCAGAATTTCTTCCAAGTTCTTCATGAATCTTCGGTGAGCTCCGATTTCGAAAGTGCTGAATATCCTCAAATTCAAAGGATTTCCTTAAGAAAGGAGATAGATTTTAAAGTTATATGTTTTAAAACTCTAGTCTTCTTTAAATTGGTATGATAGAGAGAAATCAATAAGTAAAGGACTTGTATGCAAAATTACAAAGGTGTTTTATCAGATACCAAAGAATAATAAACTAGGCTGGTACCTTATATACACCATGAGAAAATTGGAGGCTTTTGGCCAATTACATTCATGTTCCTTATTGCGTAACTTTATTAAATTCACTCTCTAAAGGAAAGTGAAGCCAAGATCAGCATGTCCTAAATGAAGCAGAAGAATGTACTTACTTCTCTACATATTTTTACAGATACAAAATGCAAGTTTTTCTGATGTTCTTATGTCCACAAATTGTCTTAGATATTATTTCCTTTTGTAGGTACTTTTCCCTTGGGTTAATCAATACCTGTAAAATCAAACTAGGCCTGTAACCCATGCAGGGAAATGAAAATGGCTTTGAAAAGAAAAAAGCTCAGTAGTTTTGTAAGGACAATACTTAGAAATCATTACAGAGCAAATAAAAACACACCTTTTAGATCTCCCTCTGATTTTTCTGCCATATTTCTTTGGTTCAGGTTCCTGAGAAGAGGCCAAACAAGACTCTGCGCAAGAATTATTTTCACAGTATTTTCTGTCACAGTTTCTTTCTTTACATGGCATAACACCAGATTCAGATAAATATCTGAATGTCCTGCGAGGTTTGGGCAAAGGATTTATAGAAGGTCCACATTCTTGTCCCTCGGGTTCAGAGTAAATATTTTCTAAGCTCTTGGTTATTCCATATGAACTATCCAGAACTCTGAAATTCAGTTCTTTTTCTGAAGAGTCACAACGTTCTAAAGCCAAATTTAAGACTTTATCCGGGGGGAGTGCTTCTATTTTCTTCCACAGGATCTGTGAGGTATAGAAATTTCCTGGAGGTAAGGAAGTCTCTGGGTCCAAAACAACTTCTTTCCAGCTTTCGATCTGTTTGACCCGAGAACATACCCAGTTGGATTCTGATTCATTTCTAAAGAGGTGTGTATCCTCACATCCACGTTTCCCACTTTCATCCTCAGTTTGATCTTGGCTTTTCGCATCTTCATTAATATCTAGACCAACATTGCGAGAGTTGGTTATATCCAACTTTTTGCTCTTTCCCTCAGCAACGGGATTTTTCTTAAGAAGAATCTCTTGATGACAGTTATTATATCTCACTCCAAAGTCCCTTGGATGCCACTTCTCTGGATTAGATATACCATTAGTTCTTCCTTCCCACTGAGAAATTTTTTGTTTGATATTTCTGCAGTGGCTTCTTGACAGTGTCTGAACAGCAGAACGAGAAAAACCGGCATCCATGTTCCCAGTTGGGTGCATGACAAAGTCTGAATGTTACTGAGGCTCCATTTTAAGTAACTATGAAATACTGTATTCTTTATCCTGTCAGTTAGAATCCAAACAATTCCAGCATTTTCCTTTCATCTTTAATTTGGAAAGCTCTTTTTAAAAAGAAAAATTTTGATCACCTTGTTGAAAATAGCTGCAACTTTATCTTGAATATTCCTATTAAAAAGAGACAATCATATGTTAGCACAGTTTTATAATTTCCTAATTTAAAGTCCACTACAACACTGCCTATCTATCCCTAAATAATTCATTTACATTGCATATGTAAAAATGTACCTGTCATCCACTAAGTAATTCAACTCCATAAACGCATTCCTAAGGTGGTGATAGAACACAGGAAATATTACTTGTGATATTTCTCAAATTGTCAGCTTTAATGTTCTGCCGTATTTAATTTCCTAAAGTTAGGAGAATGAGGTTTTATAAGAGATTACACATAGTAGTATACAATGTTATTTTATAAAATCAATTCGTTATGAAAACTTCTCTTAATGAAACAAGGACCAACAGAGTATTATAAAAAGCACACATTTACAGAAATACATCTCAACTAACTAAAAAGTTTATGTATACATCCAGAGAAAGAGCCAGTTAGTCTGGAAACACATCAACACCTAATTTCCTCCTTCTCTCCTACGTGGGGAGATAACACTAGCCCTTATTTCAACATACCCGGATTTCAACTTTACTATTAGCAGCACAGGATTCCATATGCACGGTGCTAACGAAAAGCCAATGTGCCATTAACTATCTATCAGGTGCTTTAAAATATCGTAACCTATTTTGTCACCAACTGAACTTTGCCCATCACTGCCACCACACCCTTGACCCAAATCGGCAAAAATACTTCCAGGCTCTGTCACAGTGCTTGCTTTCACATACAGGCTTCACTCATTGAGGCCCATAAATGTTTCCTCAAATGTAAAAATTGGCACAGAACTTTTCTTATCAGCTGAGTAAAGACCCGATCTCAAGTTCTCCTGTATACTGGTTATAAATAACAACTGATTCAAAACTTCCTGAGGCAGGGGTCATCCTTCCTTGAGCTTTGTCTGTGGGGCCTTGATTAACAGGCAGGGAAATATCTTGGCCCGGCTCTGTCAGGGCAGCTGACCAAAACTGATAGACAGTTCACACACAAAATGTATTCTAGGCAGGACAATTGTTAATCAGGGCTTCCATCAACTTTCCTTTCAACCATTCGTACAAGTTTGTAGGAAAACCAGCTTTGCCTGCAACTAAACTTGGATGAGGATCTAATGAAAAAAAATCATTCTAAATAACCTTAGGAAAGTTAATGTGAGTGGAAAAAAAAAAACAACAAAAAACCCAAAGCCCCAAAATACTAAAGCTGTTGTTGCAGAATTTTTTTTGGCTGCCACCACAGCTTCCTTGCTTTGAGTGACCCACCCGCGCCGTCTGGCGCCCAGGCCCAGAACTCTCCATGAAAGACTAATGCATACAGTGAGAAGGGCCAGTCGGCGGCCGCTCATTATTAAACTGAAAATCCTTTTGTCGCTTCTACTGTTCATAGAGGATTCCGAAGGATTTTAGGGTGTCCTTGAGACTCACGTTTTCCTCACTATAGACAAGACGGGAGTACAGTTGACCCTTGAACAAGGCCAGGGTGAAGGATGCCGACCTCCCGCACAGTTGAAAATCTGCCTATAACTTTTGACTCCTCCAAAATTTAGTTACCAACAGCCTACAGATGGCAGGAAGAAGCCTTACCGATAACATTAACAGCTGATTAACACCTATGTATTATATGCTGTATTCTTTTTTAATATACTGTATTCTTACAATAAACCAGAGAAAATATTAAGAAAAATACCAAGGAAGAGGGGCGCCTGGGTGGCTCAGTCATTAGGCGTCTGCCTTCGGCTCAGGTCATGATCCCAGGGCCCTGGGATCGAGCCCCGCATCGGGCTCCCTGCTCAGCGGGAAGCCTGCTTCTCCCTC